TGCTGTGCTCACAGCCATCTGTTCACATGGCAYGTGTTCCCTTGGAAGCTGCTCACACTCTTCCCATAGAACTCAGGAGCCAGGCAAAGGAGGTTTGGATCAGCAGTCTGGAAGGTGCTGCCATAGGTGCACATCCTTCCAAGAACTCTTTCCATTCCTTCAGCTCTTAGCTGGCCTTTGAGATACTTAACAACACCTTGAATGGATCTGGAAGAGGAAACTGGCTTGGTGGGGGACGGGTGTGGGCACTCCAGGGTGTCTTTTAGCACATCTGACAACATCTGGGATCCAGTGGAGGAGCTTCCAGCTGAGCCTTGTGAAGGCATCAAGTAAATCCACATCCATAGAGGTGTAATCACAATAAAGGGCCTTGAGCTGTTATTTCAAGCCCCCAAGTGGCAGACATTCATTTAGATGTAATTTGGAAATTCTTCTCTGTGAGGGTGGGGAGGCCCTGRCACAGGGTGCCCAGARAAGCTGTGGCTGCCCCTGGATCCCTGGAAGTGTCCAAAGTCAGGCTGGACAGGGCTTGGAGCWMCCTGGGACAGTGGAACATGACCCTGCCCATGGCAGGGGGTGAATAAGGTGATATTTACGGTCCCTTCCAACCCAAACCATTCTGTGATTCTGTGATTCTGTGATTCCCTCTTTCCATGGCAGCAATTAGAGGAAGTTGGTGGTGCTGCCTGGGGTTTCTGCTCGGTCTCTGCCAAAGCTGTGCTCAGTTCCTTGGCCAGGATAAGCTTCCACAGATCTGCTCATCGTGCAACGTCCCAGAGGAGTCCCAAGAGCTGCTGAAGTTGCAGCAAATCAATTTAATTGGCAAGTGAGAGCCCTGGGATTACATCCTGTAAACCCATCTGAAACACGATGGCAAAAAGAAACCTGCAGCCCACACCCAAACATGAACCAGGGTTTGCAGCTGGGGGAGGATCTGAAAAAAAACACACCTTAAATTTCTACGGATTCAGGACCTTAAAASCCTTCCTCTGCGAGTTGTACTCTACTGGAAAACCCTGAATTCCTGCAGAAAAATGTACTGACAAATAAAGAACTGATGTCTTTCACTGGTTTTCCACGAAAACAGTCAGGATTTAAAAGCTCTGAGACTAATTATTGAAGGATCACTGTAACAACGTAGGAAAATATCACACAGTGACAGAGAGAAATAGAGCTGACTTTTCTTCCTTTTAAATCTCAATTAAAAAATACATTGGATGAAATTTCCCATTAGCTGGTACTATTTGTACATCCCATGTTCTTTCTTTAATTAAAAAACATGCTTATTGCAATACTGCCAGAATCGTTTTTACGGTATTTTAATTGTAATGTCTCTGCCTGATTAAAAAAAGAAAATATGAACTGGAAACTGC